GGAGATGATGTAACAAATCTATGATAGAGTGGAACCAAATAAATGGAAAGGAGAGCAGGAGAGACCTCAGAGTAGGTTGGAGATTGAAATGTCTCACAGCTGCTCTCCTTGCAAGTATTCACTGTATTTACTGTGTCTGTCTATTTTTGTCCTCTTACAGCAGCGAATTTAGAAGTGTTTAGGGGCATAACCCTGACAGTTCTTTTTTACAACTGTAAAAGAAACCTGCGTGTGTCTGATTTGCGGGGCAACTGTGGTGACGGAAAAGCGGCAGAATGTGGAGAGACACTTCACTTCGTGCCACAAAAGCTAGCATGCGAACTAGCCACCGGGAAGCGCACTACGGGCAGAAAAAGCACATCTGAAATATGCACTCACAGTTGCAGTGTCAAGTTACACACCAGATTACAATGCACTGGTGAATAGCATGCAATACCAATCTGTTAAAGATTTGGCCATGAGATTTCAGATTTCTTTTTAATATGTGAGTTGATTTTTCTTTAACATTAGATAATTGATAACTTTTTGAAACATGGTGCAACATAGTTCATGATTTGTTAAAAGGTTTTGTCAGTGGCTAGTGAAAATGAGTAAAATTGAAAACTCCTATGTAAATGTAGTGATGTACAGTAAGTGATCATCTGAAAATGTAACAGTTGCTGAGATAAATAGAGATAAAGTGGTGGATATTGATATGTTTCCCATTTTGTTGTCACTGTTGTCACAGATGAGTATCATTAATTATTATTAATAAAGTATAGCTAAAAGCATATTGAGCAAATGTATTATTTCAGAAGAGTGTATCAAACTGGTAGCACTTCGTGTGACTCAGTACCCATGAAGTAGCTCTCCGATTCAAAAAGGTTGGTGACCCCTGACCTAGGTTCTCCTGTTCTCTTAGATTAAATAGCAAAACTGCACCAAAGAGATTGGCAGGTATAATATAGTAGTTTACTTTAGTTACTGATTTATTATGTCTTTACAGGCTAGGGGTCTCGTTTTCAAAAGTTGCACACACACGAAACGGGGCCTAAATCTTGCGTACACCACTTTCCACGCAGAGTTTGTGATTTATACAGGACACTTGGCAGAAAAATGTGTGGCCCCTCACGCAAACTCTGACCCATACGCTCGTTTTGCAGACAAGACACTGGCATCGCAAACAGTGATATGTGGTTACTGACATTTTTTCTCACTCTGTTAGAATTGGGCATTAGTTTCTCTCTTTAGCATTTTATACTATCACATAATCCTTGAAATTACTGATTGTGTTCTTCCTTTTAGAACTATAGTCTTTGTTAATCTCTCTGGCTGTGCCCACACATTCTCTTTTTCTCTCTGTTACAGAAGATACCTGTCTTAAAGGTCAACATCCACATACACACTTTCTTATCACATTCTAATGAAATCTGAATGAATTAAGAGCTGGCTTGGTCATGTCAGAGCTAACCGGCCAATAAGACTCGGTTGCGTCCAGTCTTCCTACTGTACGTGGCAGGCACAGTCCAGAAGATAAATGTCAATCACACCCGGATTTCGGGGCTCTTACCGACTGATGTCCTCAGTGAGCTTTGTCAGTGAGAGCCCAGCGGGATACTTAGGAGGGAAGACTTTTTAGTTATCACCAAGATTTCCCGGCACCTAATGATGACTGGCAATTACCTTCTACGGGCACGAAATAGCTGACACGTGGCGTATAATCAATCAATAATTAATTAACTTTCTGCCTGAAATTAATATGAAATTATCAATAGTTGTGGGTTATTGAAGGCATCGCTAAGCATGATCATGCCTGTGTCCTGACGGGCTTTGTTGATATGACCAGTGGATACATCAGAATTTCCTTCACTGTGGGAGAACAGGCCAACATAAAATGCAGTTCGGAGCTATTATTGTAAATGTTGCACAAATTTTTCAAATGTAATTGGAGCAAATATGTGTAACAATGTGCAACTCACTTCTTAGAAACAGAAATGCATGCTTGTATGCGTACGCATGCTTTTATAAATCTTTTCATACATTTTGGAAAACGTCATTTTCGCTTTTAACATATGTGGATGTTAGGTAGCCTTCACGTGGGGCTACATACATGTAACTTGAATGATGACAATACTGCTGATGATGATCAGAATCTCTATTGTTTTTTTGGTAAAATCCATCCATCCATTATCATTACTGTTTCTTCCCTGACTCAGGGAGAACTGGAGCCTATCCCAGTGGTCAGCGGGCAAGAGGCAGGGTACACCCTAGACAGTCCAACACAGGGCCACACACAAGACATACGAGGACAAACAACCACACAAGGGCAATTTGGAATGTCCAATAAACCTAACATGCAGGTTTTTGGACTGTGGGATGAAGCCGGAGAACCCGGAGAGAGCCCACGCCAACACAGGTAGAACATGCAAACTCCACCCAGAAAGGTCATGGATCCCCTGGGACTCAAACCCAGAACCTTCTTGTTGGGAGGCAACGGTGCTAACCACCACACCACCGTTTTGGTAAAACATATATATCATATTAGATTCTGTTGGTTTCAGATGTTTTTTTCCTATATTTCAATGAATTTCATGCACTGAAAGAAGCTTCAGACTTTACAGTTATCATTTGTAAATTTGTGTAATTGTTCTGATTTATCCAGCTGGAAAATTAAAAAATCTTAAAAGAAAATAAAAGTTTGAGTAAAGATTAAAAAAAATAGCATAATAATGGAACTTTGAACTGAAGATTATTCAAATGTAATAATATTAATTTTAATTTTAATTTAATTTTAATATTATTTTTCTATACTTTGTCATTATGGTTTATTAAGGCTAGATTTCTTTTTCTTTATCTGGCCACTCACTGAAAAAAATCTACAAAAAACAATGTGTGATTTCTATTTTCTATACATAAAAAGTCGTAGAATTATCATGTATATGAACACCCACATGCAAAGTGAAAAAAAAACACTGTGGTACCTTGAGAAAGGCATAATGAAGCTCCCTGTTGCCGTCGTGTGACCTGACACTGATCCAGCAGATATTTCATTCAAGAAGAACATGTTGGTTGTAGCTTTCAGTATTCCTTGGTCAAAGTGGTACAGCTGCAGGGGAGTGATGTCATTGCCCTCTTCATCAAACACCTGCATATATGAGAATATTCAGCAACTTTTGCCCCATTTTATCAAACTAATTTTCTGTCATTTTCACATTTCAATATTTGCTTTGTTATATCAATAAATACCTCTACACCTGCATGATAAACATCTTCAAACAAAAACCTTTTTATAACATTCTAATATTCCTCTTTTGAGTTTTGTAAATGGTTATAAGATCTATTTTCTTTAATTAATTAATTAATTTTCTTTTAACACAGGTTGACCCAGGGATTTCACATACACTTTGATAGCATTTATAAATATTGTAAAAGACATGGAAGGAGAATAATCAGGGATAAAACTAAGCTCCAAGACAAGTAGCCTACAAGACAAAAGAAAATGACTTATGTTACAACACATAATTTTCAGTTTGTATAGTACATTAGAGCACTGGCTGCTTTTTGTTGTTGTTTTTCAACAAAGAGCTTGGGTATTTATTTTTAGTCAGAGTTACCATAAAAAGAGATATGGTCCTATTGTCTTTTAGTTACCCGAACAGTTGATCTAGATGTTTGAACAGTGCTTTTTTCCGTAACTTTGCTGCAACCGCCTAAACTGAAACGACGCCTGTATGACGAGACATGCACACCGTGTGTGTGTTTCGAACTCCGGTTGAATCCATGACATCCCGACCCTGGAACGTTTACAGCTTGAGAAAAGCTGCAACACACCAGGATAAAATGACCTTAGCAGTATACTTCCTTACATGTTATGATCCAGTGAAATATAAAATATATTATTTTTAACATTGACTACTTACGGTCTTACCACCAAAGTACGTCTCTTTTTATCTTCGTTAGACATTATTGCAAAGCGTCTGTTTTGGCTTCCGAAGGTGTTACCATAACTACGTGACGCCTGTAATACTGACATGCTCCGGTGTTGTCAGCATACCCCGACCGGCAGTCTCTGCAAAGCAACAGTAAAAAAAAAAATAAATGTAAAAAAAGCATTTAAAGTTTAAAGATAAGTTGAAAAAGTTAAAAAAATATATATTTATCCTATTCTATTACACATCATATAATTTTCAATTAACTTTACTTTTGATCAGTAATTATTATTGATGTTTTTTCATTCTCAATACTTAACTTCTTACCTTTTTTTAATTGATCTTCTGAAATTTTCCTCTAAATTTGAGCTTTTAAAGAGAATGCTTCTAAATTGTGGAACATTTTATATCTTTTATTTTATCCCAGTGTTGAGCAACTCAAATCTTGCTGAAGACAACGTAATTTAAGATATTACAATTATCTTGATGCGTTGATCGTTACATTTTTTGTTGTTACATTTTCATGCATTTAACTAAAGCGCTTTACGATTATTTTAGATTGCAATATGTTGAAAATGATAGGCAACATATTGTCTTTGGATAGCAAATTCTGTTGGGTTTCTCAGAAAAAGATCTACTCACGATCTCTGCCATATGCTTGATTATTTTTAACCAATTAATCTAATGAATTGATAGAAACTAACAAATTAATAGAAAACTAAGAAATACTTTTCCTCCGAATCCTGTCATTGCAGTGGGTTTGTTGTTTTTCAATGACAATAACACTGGCTGTTGGCCTTGCTCTTGCTCCTTCAAAAATCCGAAATAGTTTCCTTGATTGTGTTCACATTGAAATATACATAAATCTTTTCGCATACTTAAAGTGCCCTGTAAGTATCTTTTTTTTTATCATAGTTATTTTTTTTATTACTAATGGCTTCAAGATGGGTTTAGTAGCAAGTTTTATAAAGAGTTCAAGGATATATTAGTGGACCCCCTGTTAAATATGTTTTGTGATTCATTTAAAAAGGGCATCCTCCCAATGTTTGAGGGAGGCAAATATCTCCTTAATTAAAACAAAAGGACAGGCAGCCAGAGTACTGCGCCTGTTATAGGATTATTTGCTTATTAGAATTGGACCTAAAACTCCTCTTTAAAATACTTGCAACAGGACTGGAAGGCTTTCTCCCGCTGATTATTAAAAAGGACCAAACTGGTTTTATGAAAAGTCGTAACTCGTGCAATAATGTACATCAATCACTAAACACAATAAAGTTTTTTTTTCGCAACAGTCAATACATAGTTTTGTACTCTCTGGATGCTAAAAAGGCATTCAACGGGGTGAAGCGGCCTTACCTCTCTCATACACAATTTTTACCTTGGTGAAAAATCTATTCAATAGATCAAGTTACTTTATAACAACACACTCAGTGACACTCAGTGATCATCAATGCTTTGCCAATTTCCAATTTAACACAAATCCTCAGACACTCTCCCACTTTTCGTAGATGGTCCCTATCCGGGATTGTATATTTGGGAGTACATATGACTCCCACTTTTGACAGAATGTACAAAATAAATGTTGTCCCTTTTGTTTGAACGCAGGCAGTATGGTGGTGTGGTGGTTAGCACCATCGCCTCACAGCAAGAGGGTTTGGGTCCAAGTCCCCAGGGGGAACCGGGACCTTGCTGTGTGGGGTTTGCATGTTCTCCGTGTCTTCGGGTACTCCAGCTTCCTCCCACCGTCCAAAAACCTGCATGTTAACTGACTGGACAATCCAAATTGCCCTTGGGAGTGAGTGTGCATAGCTGTTGATTGACTACTGAGATAGGCTCCAGTCCCCCGTGACCCCATTTGGGGATAACCGGTTCAGAAAATAGATGGATGGATGTTTGAACGCATTGAATTAGACTTGGAGAGGTGAAATGCCCTCCCCATCTCTTGCCAAGGATGTGTTGCCCTTTTTGAAAAAGAACATTCTCCCTAGGCTACTTCATCTAATTAAGAGGATCCCATTCTTCATCCCACATAAAGTTATAAAAAGTCTGAATGGGTGGTTTAGCACTTTTAAACATGTACTTAAAAAAAACAGATGAGTTCATAAAGCAATAAATTATGTTTGTATGCTTCAATGTAAAAAAAAAAAAAAAGTAGGGTTAAAGCTACGAAACTTGTAAATTTAAAACGTTAATTGAACTGAAACCATATTCTGAGAATGACTACAACTAAAAGATTGCTTGTTAGGCCAGACGGATTTACGGACGATGGACCAGTTAGTAAAGTCAGTAGTGAAGATGATGGGGATGACTGTCCTTCAAGTTGACACCAAGGTATATCAGTTGAATTGGACCAGGATGTAATTTTACTTATGTTAGCTTCCCAGTAGTAGAACTGACAGTTACATAGACAGAGGCTGCCATAGAACCTAAAGTTGTGAAGTGTTTTTTCCCATTCATGTTGTCGGCAGTCCCCCTAGACAAAACATGCTATTGAAGATCATGAGAGATCTTTCTTTCTCAAAATATATGAGCTGAAGGAAAATTCCCAGAGAACTAAAGAGGACATTCTTTCTCAAAATAGAATAACTTGAGGAAAAATCCCAGACAACTGCACCAATTGGTTTTATTATTTTCTACCAAATAAGTTTTAAATCGCCATTGAAAGAGATAGCAAGGTTTGGGTGAAAACTGAGCATGGAGGGAGAGCAGGGCATCGTCTCAATAATAATTGGGCGATATGAGACATATGACACTTTTGGCATGAGTTTAGCATCTACAAAGAAATAATCTATGTGAGAAAAGGTCAGGTGCAAATGTGAGTAAATAGAAAACTGCCCACTGTTTGGATTACGAAATCTCCAGGGGTCAACACAATTATTATTCAACATTAACATTTAGCCATTGATGATTGGGTTTGGTTAAGAATGATCTAATTGAGGATCAATAGTTCCAGTTCATATCCCTACCGAAAATCAAATCACAGTTATCTAAAGATGGTAGAATAACTTCATTCATACAGTACCTGATATCCTTGTCAGAGATGGTTTTGGTCAGTGTGAAAGGTATAGATTTACTGATTAAGATGGCAACCCCTTAAGCCATTAAGTTCAAACGGAAACTTTAGTCTAAACTGGTCATTGCTTTTAAAGTGGCTCTACTCTAAAAAAACAAAAATTAAAAAAAACAATATCAGGCTTCAAACCTTTTAAATGAGTGAGTACCCTACACCGCTTGACAGCACCCTCTAAACCTCAAATATTTCAGATGATAAATCTTACACTTGAGCTGTTTGCATTAGCTATATGAATTATAAATTAACCCTGAGGTAGCAACCAATTACTGCAACTCATTCCAAATCTCGCGTCCTTCCCCAGAAGCACCAACTTCCATCCCCAAAGGATGGTATACCAGTGCAAATTTCAAATGGAGTCATAAATCTGAAGATGAAACTCAAGTTTTTGGCTTTTTGACCAAACACTCATCCTAAAGGGCCACGGTAGTTTCCTCTGAAGGGGGCTGCTTACTAACCAAGCTCTGCTATGGGTTGGTCTAAGCAAGCTAAGGCAGGAATGCAGGCAAGTGACCATGCCCACACCACAGTAGTTGCCAAACCCTTCAGATTTTTTGGTTTTGTGGACATGTTCATGTTCATGTCATGCTCAAGAAGAAGTCCAAGTGTTCTTTGTAGAATGGAAGTTTTGTAGGAGCTCCCGCTAACATGTCTTCCTCCCTTCGTTGCAAAACCGGAAGCCCCCTGTTTTCAGCATTTTGTCCATTACTGACACTCCATGTCACTGAAGATTCATCTGAATCATTCTGGAGATGATGCAGTACAATGTGGTTTTACAGACAGCCTTAGATATGCAGGGTGATGAGAAAATAAGAAAGTACCATTCCACATGATAATTCTTGGCAATGAACACAATTTTAGCAAAGGCACACACAACTTTGATAGCTGACTATTAAAATCAAAGAGAAAGAAAATCAAAGAAAATTACCCTACAGTTCCTTCCGTGTTGTTAGATTTTTTTTAAAGCAGATGGATATTGACTCCTAGGATGAAAAACTATTAATGCTGAAAGGTGATTATTTGCTTAATTTGTTAAGCTGAAAAATATCTATCTCATGTGATATTAGCAAGAGTGGTCTGCCGTCACTGAGGACAGACTGATTACATTTTCTAGCTACTAAAAAGAGAGAGAATACATTGAACAAAACACTGTATTTTCCTTCTGATCCAAGACAAAATTTTAACTGTTTGGAATTCAGCATGATTGTTCTGCACACACACAAGTATTGGTATAAACAGTTCAATGGAGAAGGGCACTGTATATTATTCCATTTTACCTGAATTCCCAAGCACAAGCATCTAACAAATGAAATTAACAAATGTTTTTATTGTTGTTTAACTTAGTCAATTTGTGCTTTTAAAGGCCATTATATCATAATTAGAAGGCATATCTCATTTGTTTTATGGCCTTCTGAATGTTCCCAATCTATATTCCCTTGAAAAAGGACTAAGTCATTGTTTTTGCCATGCATGTTTAACAAAACAGAAACCAGTTCCAAAGAGCAACATGCATTTAATGTTTAATCTCTCTGATAGTCCATGAAACTAAAAAACATAGCCTTTGAGCAGTATAATCTCTGTGCTCTCTGTTCCTCAGATAAGAAACATGCAGATAAGAGATATATTCCTATTCTGTTCTCTCAGACCGTGAGTGTTCTTCCGGAGGACGAAGAAAGGCTAGAAGAAGATGGAAACAGTAGAGGAAAAGGATAAAGAAGAAAATATTGGGAGATGCAGAAATGACAGAAAAAACAGGTTAGTGACATGAATATTAACATAATAGAGTATTCAAATATGGGGCATATTTCTTTCCTCCGCAGTGGTACTTTAAGGGTACTTGTTATTGCACAAAAACTTGAAACATTGTTCTATGTGTATTGTTTCTGTGTCTCTCCAGGATGACAGAACATGATGATTTTGGGAAACCACTTCAAAAGCGACAGAAAGATGTTTGTCTGGGTTGTCTCACAAAGCAACATCTGATAATGATATCTCTGGCTATTGGACTTCTGCTGATAATCATCACTGCCATCACTGCTGTGGTACTCACAAAAAGCAAAGGTACTAAGGTAATAAGATATTACACAATAGTATGCCAATGTGGCCATATTAAAATTGAATTCGCCGAAAATACTTATGTGTAATATAGTTCTACTAGCAGGCAGCTGTAGCTTAGGAGAAAGAGCTGTCACCTAACAATCGGAAGGTTGGTGGTTTGAGTCTAGTTAGATTTGAAAAAGGTTATTTTCAATTCATTTGAAATTATACTACACTACATTGCACGAACATGTAGCATTCCTGTCTGCTTATAATCTTAGGTACTACATAGATATTGTTTACTTGAACCTTCACGTGTTAGAATAATTGATATCTATATGTATCACATCTCCGTAATATGACAAATTGTGGAAAAATCACCTTATATTCTTGAGAGAATTTATATTTGCGTCTTTACCAACTGGGGCTCATCAATCATCATGTGTTATTAAGTTACATATTCACCATCAAAGGGAACAAGTTAGACTCTAAAATCGAACCAGTCACATTAACTCCAAAACACAGTAGAGTTTAAAATTCTGTTGGAAATAGGTTCTTAACAGACTAAAAACACCACAATATTTTCTTTGTACTCCAAACAAGATACATCCTATTGAACTGATTTTGAGAAAAAAGCTTCCAAAGAAGCTTTTGCTTACATGTCATTGGAGTTCAACCACCTCATTTGGTATTTTCTAAGTTCTTTTTTTGTTCAGTGAGACAAATCTAGTCCCTGCTGGGCTTTAAAAGCATACCTTTAGTTTAGTTTTTCTATTGATACACGTTCAACCTTGAAATTTTGTTATAAAATCCAGAGGACACAGATTTACTGAGGTCTTTCATGTTATCTACCTATTTACTGAGGTCCTTCACATTATCTGTATAAACCTCTTTAAGTTTGACATGGGGATTTGAAGTAAATTGTTTTGATATAACTTATTCTTACTTAAACGATGTTTGTCTTGTCTGTTGTTCCAGCTCCTCTCCCACCATTTCCTACTGGTGGTGACATGTTAGACTTCCTGGCACAGTTGGGCGTCATCAGCCACCAAGATGGCCTGTTGGCAACTTGGTTTCACAGGGCCAACAACAAGGAAGAGATGGACAGAGCACTTGCAAGTAAAACATATCCAGCACAGTAAAAGCAGTTATGTAAATTGTAGTTACAAAACTTCCATAATGTACATGAATAAAAACTGTCACATGTGGGACATGCTCCCGTATTTTCATTTCTCGTCCTTTTAGGTAATGCTATGATCCTGGAGGCTGATGTCAACCTGGAGGGTTTTGGGACACAGAATCAGAAACCTATCCCTATCATGGCTCATCCTCCAAACATCTATAGTGATAACACACTTGACCATTGGTTGGATGCTGTGTTGGACACTAGAAAAGGTGCCAATTTGACATGATGAATAAATGTGGAACTGATTTGAACAGTGGTGGGCCGTAGGGGCCTGCAAGGCCTTCCCTGCAGGCCTAAGAAAATATCTGAATCACAGACTAATGTTAATTATATTTTGTCCATGGTTACTTATCAAACATCTCTAAATAGTCTGTTCGCTTCTTTTCATAGCTTTTCCCCTGGTTGTGCTGCTTCCAGACATGCATTTTCATATAAAAACATTTAACCAATCACATTTCAGCCTCATTTGTTGCTAGGCAGGGTCAAAGTCAAAGCTGTCTTCCAGGAAGCCTTCACAATCCGTTCTGCAGGCCTCCCTAACAGAAAAGACATTCAAGAGACTTGTACACCCCTGATCATTATACTGTATTTTAGGCTTGTCCCGATCTGATATTTGGATCGTATCAGATCCATTTTTTTTTAAGTCCAATCCCACACGAGCATTAGCATCTCCTAACCCACAGGTCTGTGTCCTAAACATTAAGTTGTTATCAGAGTAAATCCCTGTTCAACATGAGTCTGACAACTAATTAAGTAGATAAATAACTTTCAACTTTAATACAAAAAGCTTGATCGGGACATGTTTTTTTTCTACATAATAAGATGATTGCTATAACCATAAGATAGTTATTGAGGAGTGAATTGATTCAGACGGAGCACTACTGAAGGCCTAGGTGTGAAATGCACGGTCCGCCACTGGATTTGAATAATGGCTGTCTCTGATGCTTTGTGTGTCCCTGCAGCCATAAAGTTGGATTTCAAGTCTCTTGCATCAGTGGGTCTGTCACTGGACATGTTAAGACAAAAGAATAGTAGCAGAGGAATACACAGGCCTGTGTGGCTTAATGCAGATATCCTTCAAGGCCCTAACGTACCAAACTTTGTGCCTGCAATCAATGGAACTAGGTAAGACCCTCTAAAGTTACGTTTTCGTAGCGCTTAAGAAATCTTCATTGGGAAATCTGGAAGTGAGTGTTTGACTAAAGGAAGGACAATAGCAGGAATAAATACTGTTAATAATTTTGTCTATGAGATAAACCTCTTTCCTTCTTTCTTCTGCTTTTCCTTTTTTAAAAGATTTCTTCAATTGATTCAGGAGAAGTTTCCAGATGTGACTGTGTCTCCTGGATGGCAGGTATTGCATGTTAGCAGTGTACAGTCATGGCCAAAAGTATTGAGGATGACACAAATATTATGTTTTCACATGATCTGCTGCCCTCTGGTTTTCATGTGTGTATGTCAGATGTTGTCATCACATACAGAAATACAATCAATGCTTGTATTTTGTCAGAATTCCAAGGTTTTCGTTTTTCCACCCGTCTCTTGATGATCGACCACAAGTTTTAAATGGGATTAAGATATGGGGAGTTTCCAGGCGATGGACCCAAAATCTCTATGTTTTGTTCCCTGAGCCAGTTAGATATCACCTTTGCTTTGTGGCAAGGTGCTCCATCATGCTGGAAAAGGCATTGTTCATCACCAAACTGCTCTTGGATGGTAGGGAGAAGTTGCTCTCGGAGGACATTCTGGTACCATTCTTTATTCATGGCTGTGTTTTTAGGTAAGACTGTGAGAGAGCTGACTCCCTTGGCTGAGAAGCAACCCCACACATGAATGGTTTCAGGATACTTTACAGTTGGCATGAGACAAGACTGGTGGTAGCGCTCACCTCGTCTTCTCCGAACAAGCCGTTTTCCAGATGTCCCAAACAATGGGAAAGGGGATTCATCAGAGAAAATGACTTTACCCCAGTCCTCAGCAGTCCACCCCCTGTACCTTTTGCAGAATATCAGTCTGTCCCTGATGTTTTTCCTGGAGAGAAGTGGCTTCTTTGCCTCCCTACTTGAGACCAGGCCTTGCTCCAGGAGTCTTGGCCTCACAGTGCGTGCAGATGCACTCACACCTGCCTGATGCCATTCCTGAGCCAGCTCTGCACCGCTGGTAGCCCGATCCCACAGATGAAACACTTTTAAGAGACGGTCCTGGCGCTTGCTGGTCTTTCTTGGGCGCCCTGGAGCCATTTTGGCAACAATGACGTTGAAATGTGTTTTGGGGGATAAAATTAATTTTCTAGGCAAATATTGACTTAGCAATTAATTGCTGTTATGCTGAACACTCTTTTTAACATTCTGGAGAATATGAATATTGCCGTTATAAAAACTGAAGCAGTAGACTTTGTAAATATTAACATTTGAATCATTCTCAAAACTTTTGGCCATGACTGTACATCTTTATTATTTTGCTGTTTTTCCAATTTACCTACATATTTTGCTCTTTGTCCTTGAACATTAATGACTGCTTCAGCAAAACATAAGTGTTTTTGTCACTTTTTTCTGTTGTATTTCCTTTGCCTTCTTACTCACCTCACAAACACCATGTTGCTCTATGTTGTCAGCCACAATTACATTTTTCCTGTACCTTTCCCCAAGTCTTTGATTTCATACCCGTAAAGCCAGCACTTGTAACAGCAAAGTGGTGGTGGGATGAAATCCAAATCCTCATCTAAGCGAATGCAAGTAATCCTCCTTTAATTATTTTGTTTTCACAGATAACCTTTCTACCACAATTTTTTGTCATGTAATGCCTTGCTTTTTTGTTCTTCAGTTTTACAAATCACCATTACATTTCCATCTCTCAGCACTGAACAATTTTACACCTCCAATCTATTTCATTTCTCTAGACAACATGATTGGGCTTATGTTTATTTGGGCTTCCTCACTCCTAAAATTTCAATATTGTTTTTACATTCCTCAGTCTCTATCTAACATCTGATTATTCGCTCTTCCTCAGAAATGCTTCCATCGAATTCTCATAAATTTTGCTGGTTGTCAAACAATCTCGCCTCTGCCATGTCCAATAACTTTCCCCGTATTCACTGGCGTGCAACCGTCAAAATTTATATCATCCTCATGAGTCCCTGCCTGAGTAGCCATTTATAAACCACTTTGTGTTGCTCCTGACAAGGATGGAGCTCAGAGAGGATTCAGTCGCGAAGGTCGAGTACAAAAACAAGCTTTTATTAACAAAAACGTTCCACAAGGAGGACTCGAGAACGAGAAAGCTAAAAGCGAGGAAACAAAGTAGCAAAAAAATACTCACTAGAGGCAAAACACTAGGAGGAATAAGAACGCAAAATCACTCGTGAGAGGAAAACAGGAATCGAGGCAAGGACTATGGTTCGAGGACTAGATAAAGCACAGTAAGGGTCGTAAGACGGAGCACACTGGCACAAGACCGAGGGAAACTCAGACTATTTAAAACATGAGGGTAGGGAGACCCAGGTGTACACAATAGGTGATCAGGAAGACAATTGGACCATTGTCAATGGTCACGAGGAAGTGAAAGCGACCTGAAAAGAGATGAGAGTTATTCTTCAAAATAAAACAGGAAATGACGACAAGACAAAAAACCTCAGCTAAATAACACCACTGTGACAGCTCCTCTCTTGCCCTGTCATCACTTGAAATAATCTCCTGCCCAGACTGGTTTCCTTTACCCAGTTTGGCTATTGATCATTTTGAAAAAAAAAATACTATTATGGGAGGCGCAAACGTTACAAAATCTGAAACGCTTTTACAAAACTTTCTACAAATGTACATTTAGTGAAACAAATTAACATTTCACATAACAAAGTCCCAAAGCACATTCACACACAACAAAATCAATCAGAAAATAAATGTTACAACTCCGAGGATGAGTTAAGGGATAATTGATTGATTGATTGAATACTTTATTGATCTCCAAGGAGAAATGAACTTCCAGTACAACCCGTACCAAGATCATACAAACAAAACACATAGACACACCAGTTCAGGAAGACCGTGGGCAGCCACTCAAGGGCGCACTTTTTCTTCAGAACAAACATACATCAGGAAAGTGGTTGATGTGTAAGCAAGTTGGAGGTCCAGAATCCACAGGCTAGATGGAATTTGTCCTTGTCATGCTCATATTCCTGCTTGGGAGGAGGGAGGGGGTGGGGTGGGCAAAGAGTCCATCTGCCGTTTCATCCAGTTGCAGAGTAGCAGCTGCAAGGCCGCTCTCGGGAGGCCAGATTGAGATGAGAGCTAGCCTTGTTCCAGAAAGAGAGTGTTTTGTCTGTCTTAAACCCTCAGCAGGTCTCTCAATGGCGATTCCAATTCAGCCGAATTGTGTTAATTTCCCTCCATCCGGATTACCAACTTCACCCATCCCCTTCATGCTGTCAGTCATCATCCCCATTTTGGTCCTATGAGCCTCCTGACTGCTCCACTGAGCCCCTAGTTGGCTCACATGAGCATCATGTTTGCAGGACAACTCGCACAATGTTTGAGTGTTGATGGATCGGAAAACTGGGTCGATCAACAGCCTGCCACCAGTTGCCGTCAGCCTCCGAATTTCTCGAAAACCTAGGTATCCACCAATCAGCAGGAACCCGGTTATCATGAATCCAAATAGATATAGGTCCTGAGAGAACTGAAAGGCATAAAACCCTCCACTTCTTCCTGGCATCCATTGTCTTATCCAAAGGGTGAGTCCCAGCTGGACAAGTTGCAGCCCCTAAAGCTTCTCTTTGGGTAGTAAAGATGCTGTCAATTGCATTGAGAGACCAGCCGTCCAAATCCATGGTTGATGTTAGTCTTTAGGAAGTGAAAATGCAGAAAGAGGCTTTGAGATATGACAGGACAAAGATAGCAAGCAGGCAAAAAAGGACAGGGGAGGGAGCAGGGAAAAAACACGTCTGCACTCGCCAAGAGCCTGAAGAAGACATATGTAGATTAGCACAGTTTTGTTTCTCATGTGACCAGTCTTTAATATTTCAACATAACTTAATTCCCTTTTATCTTGAGTCACCATGAGGGCTCCCGTTAAACAATTTCCAGATCCGCCTTGGAGTTGGTACTTTTCGATTAATTCAAGATTTTGAAAGATTTGTCTCTCAGCCATAAAGAAGACTTCACGTGTAACTTGGCTGTTTCTCATCCTCTGTCATATTTTTTTGTATCTATACAATGTCACCACCATAGTAAATAAAACATGTAAACATATAGGTATGCAAGATTTCTCCTTTCAGATGAGTTGCACAATCTTCTTGACCAGTATCCATTGGCCATATTAGTCAAATGTATCAGTGTTGTTCTTTAGCTGACTAAATTCACCGAAGTTGTTGGATTTAGGAAGTATGTGATATGTGCTTTGTTCTGATGACACATTCCACTTTAATCACGTATTGTAGCCGACTTCACAGTTAACATTGCCCTGTTCCTTATAGGTTCTCTATGTTCCACCAATTTTTGTTGGAACTTACACCCGCACCATGGTGGAAGACATGTACAATATTATCAAAGATGTTCCCCAAAGCGTAAGTGGAGAAAATCTATGAGTAAAAAAAATCCTGTGTATGAAAATGAGTAATTGGATCTTTGGAGTACACACTGCAGATCTCAGATGTTATTACAAGTCCTCACTGTAACTCCAACAGCTTCACAGAATCATATGTCTTTAGGTAACATTTCCAGTCCATGCTCTTTTGGTACGCAGTGGCTGGCAGCACATCAGCTGGCTCCTAAGCCAGTCTCCAAGGTAACGAATAACAAACTATGACAATGACTGTAATCTGTCATCTGTAATGTCTGTAATCAATTAAATAACCCATTAAAACTGTTACACATTTTGTTTGTTTAGTGCCTGTTATGGTTACAGTCTTTTGATTATGTGTTTTTGTTTTCAGGTTCAGTCTCACATTATGGCAAGGTTCAGATAACCCAAATATCAGTGACCTGCTGTTTGTTCGTGACAACACCCTACCTGCGAGAGTCTACTATGATATATATGAACCCACATTATCTGAATTTAAAGAGGCTACAAGTAAGACAAATCTGGTGAACAGTTGACTGTTTATACTGTGTCTATAGCCAATATATAAAGTAAATATCATGGGACACATGCAAGTGTCTGTCTTCACAGATAGCAAAACATGAGTAAATCAATGCTGAAAAATATTTTTAGGCAGAAATACTGAATCCACGACATTTAAATTGTACAAAAAGTGGTTGGTGACTTACAATTGATTTTATATTGAATCAATGTTAGGAATCCATATTGGTTCATGTACATCTGACATTAAGATTTTCAACTTTTCCAAAGCCATTTACTTTGTGAAGCCCACTAGAATAGTTTTTTGGGCAGGGTTGACAAACAGCACATGTTGATTTAACTTTGATTAGATTTCAATAATTACAATTCGACCACAAAACAACATCAATTCAATTACATAATTTCAAAATAGGTTAATTGTTGGATATTGGGTCCTAAATCCGATACGTATCTGATCATTTCAATTGTGAACTGAGTCTTTGCAGCCAAGTAGCATTCATCCGACCTGCACGTCATTGATACTCGACAAATGCTACTAACAGAAAGAACAAAAACAACAACAATGGGACCAGTATATTTACATTACTGGCATCTCTCTGTGCGGAAAGAGATGCGGAAAACAGTTAATGGACAGAAAGCGAGGTTTCTGACTTAATTAGTACCAGGCCAAACTCAAAGGGGTTTTATCAGAATCAGGTGATTTCCAAAGAAATGGCCAAACGTGGGTATAAAGCTCCTGGCTTCAATGCCAAAGAAAAATAAAGAGCCTAATGACTCAAACAAACAAAGTTACCTGTTCGTTATATGCAGAGCTTTCTCTTCATAAAATATTGTGCTACATGTGTGCCTCTATGACCTTTCAGGTTTGTTTGAAGTTCACACTTCATGAAAGTTCAAGTTTATGTAAAACTGCATACAGAGATATTAATAATCATTCTGTATCAAACAACTGTGTCAAACGAAAAAAAAGGAAAAAGGAAAATAAAGAATCTTCTTCTTTTTTCTTTTCTCACTTATTATTAGTTTTATTAATCTGTGCTTATGTGTTCACAGGAAAGCAGAACCAATTCAGGAGATTTTATCCAGGTGGAAACCTGATGGACTTTCTCTTTCCAATCCACGACACAACTTTCTTGCCAGCATTTACGCAGCCCAACAGTCTTGCAGTGCATTGGTTCACTGTGACCGATCAAGCCTCTTTGCTGACTCAACTCTCAGGTAGGTTTTTACACTAAATACATTTCTAGTGTCTTTAATATGTTGAAATGCTTACATAAAGTTTACCCGTAATCATTTATTACTCACTGTGTCTTTTACTGCAATAGTTTTTTATATGCATGCCAGCATGCATATAAAAACAATAACTTATACAATAACTTTGCTGCTTAAACCTTCGACAAGGGGATGAAGGTTTCAGTAAGTTTATGAACCTGATATATAATGGAAAATGATCCATCGATTCTCTCTACTGCCTTTTCCCAACGGGGTCGTGGAAGGGCATGAGCCTACCCCAGCTGACAAACAGGGCAGGTCACTAGTTGCATCGGGCCACATAAAGACAAACAGCCACACACACACATTCACTCCAAGGGGTATGGGGTGTCAAACTTAACCTAACACGCACAATTCAATGCATGATTTGCAGGTCAAACTGGGAACCCTCTTGCTGTGGGGCGACGATGCTAACCACCGTGCCACCTTGGAGGAATTATTGAAAGAGCAATTTTCTATTTAATTAGATTTTTATTCAATTTGATAGATAGATAGATAGATAGATAGATAGATAGATAGATAGATAGAT